CGAGAGCGCACACTTTTTGCTCAAGTACACTGAAACGTGGACTGCACACTACTGTGGCCTTGGCGCTCAGGCTTCTGACAGCCGGTCGCCCTGCGCACTCTGCCTTCCCCCCCCCTCCGCCACTGTTGAACTTTCAGTCTAACTGCTCTGTGTGGATGGATATGCGCAGTTTTAATATTTTTAATGATAAAAATGACCCCGGCCAGCTATGGTCGATGATCGTTAAACCATAGTAGCCTAGAGGTATTGTCTACAAAGTGAACTCGGTAAAGCTGGGCAGAGGTGGGAATGAGAGCGAAGCCTGCGAAGTAAGGGTGATTGGCCGTGTATGTGGTGGTCCTCTTGTTGCTCAAAGTGACGCGAAAAATTGGACAAATGAAGAAATTGAGGTCTATTAGCCTGCTCTGGGTTCCCTCACTGAGTAACCTGTCCAAGCCGCGTTTACCTGCTGTGTTAATTAGCTAGATGACACCAAAATGCACTCATTTGCGGTAGCATCGGTTAAGCGAGATTATAAAGGAAAGAAACAATGGGAAACACACACGAAGGAAGAGTTTTAATCGTTTTCAGTTCTCGTAATTTGCTTCCCTCCGCCAAGGGCATGTGAGGAAACCAGCAGCAGGACAAACAAACGAAAACAAAACTGACCAGTTACTTCGCTTCTTTCCCTCTTCACGCAATTGGTTGCAATTAATTAGGCGAAAGTCATAAATCATTGCAGGCATTCCCAGGGCCTGATTGGTCTGCCTCCACACGTAACCTTGTTCTGCAGGAAAAAAAGTTCTCAAAGTGCATTTCGTTAGGCTGCCACACGAAAAACCCTACATATTTGGCGCTTTCTCATGCGCCTTCTTCCCTGGCTGCTTCACAGGCGAAAAATGTGCGCCTATCGGCTAGGTTGTTTTCTGTGAGGGACCGAATTTAAATTGTCAACTACAATCAATATGCCCTCCCTTGCGGCGGATGCCTGAAGAACATTGGTTAATCCGGGTGGAGCCAGCAGAGAAAAACATGCATTCAACACAAGGCAGGCCCGTCTAGCCCCCATGGGAGACTTAGTGAATTCTGCTACTGTCTCTGATGATGAATCTGCGACGGATTCCTGAACGTCACGCGAATAAAACTCTTGTTTCAGCGATCACATCTACTTTTTCTGAATTGACACAGTAAAGCAAAATATACGGGCGCCTCTTCTCCTTTGAAGGCTTTACTATATGCAATCTACA